CTCTGCCACTTCCGGTCCGGTGGCCGCGGCTGCGCCGGCACGAAAGCTGCGGGCGCAGGAGGTTCAGAGGAGACCAGTTGCAGCGTGGCCATCGTCGCCACTGGCATCATTAGAACGCATGTTTCCACTCGCGGCCGTAACCGGCGTTATGGGGGGGAGGGGGGTGGGGGACGGGAGGGGGCACAACGTAGCGGCCCCCCCAGACTGAGGGGGAGGGAGCGGTACGTGATGGGGGGGGGGGAAGGGGTGGAGGGTAGGAGGCATAACGCGCGTTATGGCCCAGAGGGTGAAAAAAAAAACTCTTGCGATCGTCGCCGTCAGAGTCGCCATCACCAACATTGCAGTACTGGACATCGAGGTCATCGCGAGCTATCTGCAGTTCTAGCAAGCTGCGCCCGCACACCCCTGGATTGTATTCGTTGCGGGCACAGCCACATCTTGCAATGTTCGCCCGACACGGTCGTCAGCTATCCGTGGCGGTCTTCGGTACTATGTCCGTCGTAATTGGATAGATGGCAGCAAGATGCACAAGCACACCAATACTGGCGACTGAAGGTCACCATCGCCCGGGTCTGCGGTCTCTACCCAGTAACGCTGGACCCAGGAGAGGCTCGACAAAACTAGGACCGCACAGGTGGCAATTCCCGAATGCAACACCCTAGCAACAAATGTGAACAGCCCCCCACGTCGTCAGCTGCCGTCTTGTCAGAGCCGCGTCGCCTTCGTCTTTGCGCTCATCCCTGAGTCTCCGCCAGCCAATGGCTATCACAAACCACAGATGTCGCACATGATCAAGGATACAGAAAGAGAGAGAGCGAGAAAAAACAAAGAAATAAAGGAAGAAAGAGAGCGAGAGACAGAGAGTAAGAGAGACCCACACGCACAGAAGGAGAGATAGAGAGACACGACAGAGGCAGGGACAAAGAGGATAAGAGAGAGAGGGGGGGGAAAGAGATGCGCAAGAAACAATGCCAAGATGGAAGGACGAGGCAAGAACGCAGCACTCCTACCAGCTGCCTGGGCGCAGGAGCAGTAGTGCATCAGCTCCGACAAAACCCGCCTTCCGCCTCCCTCGGAGGCGGGCTTATCCCCCCACCCCACCCCACCCCACCTCCCACACCGACCGCACCACCACCCCCGACCCCACCCCACCCCACCCGATGATCCCCAAATGTGCGTCAGCGCCGAACTGCGCCTGCCCACCGAGGCCCTTCCGTAGGACGCAGGCGGAGCGACGAGGGCCGACGCAGGCTGCGCGGTCTCGGCGGAGCTGAGGGGGGGGGTACTTGACACACGCTTCGGCTAACTTGCTCGATCGGCGGTCACGAGGGACCAAGCAGCGCGCGAGCGACGGCGAGGTGCAACCGAGGCGAACTGGGGCACGAGAGGCAAGGGGAGGCGCGCGCGGGACGCGGGGAGGGGTACAGGAGGGACGCCCGCAGGGGAGGGAGCCACGCTGAGGCCATGCAAGTCTTCGTGTGCAACGCTTGGACTAGCACACGTCCTGAGGAGCATCGACTCACCCACTCCACGCCGCAAGCTCTTCCCCTGGCCCAGCCGAGGGAAGTAAGGCGAGTCGCGCATCAGCAGTTCGGGGGCGTCTAAAACTCTCTGGAAAACCTGAGGCAGCTTCCTCCTCCTCCTCCTCCTCCTCCTCCTCCTCCTCCCCCTCCTCCTCCCCCTCCTCCTCCTCCTCCTCCTCCCACGACTGGCAGGCTGGGGCTGTCACCCCCCGCTTGGCCGCCCCAGAGCAATCGGCGTCGGCGGCGTCCGCAGGGGGCGGCGCGCCGTCGCCGCGGGGCCGCCGCGCCGCTCGGGCCCAGGAGTCCCGGGCGGCCCAGGCCGCCAGCGCCAGGGCCGCCAAGGCCAGTCGGGGACGGCGCCGCCCGCGCGGGGGCATCGCGGCAGCGAGGGGCCCTCGGACACGCCCCGAGATCCTGGCGGCTCTATTTGTTCGAGCCGGGCGACGTCGCTCCATGTCGGGCACCGGGGCCCTCACAGGTCGATGCGGCTCGGAAACCGAGGCAGTGAGATGGGGTCCGGGGGAGGGGGGTCGTCACATTTTGCGAGGTTGCAATCGTTCTGCAAAGTCGGATCTCAGGGCGGCGTCGCAACAGAAATCGAGACAGCCAGTTTTTCGTCGCGTTTGGCCTCGGGGATAACGGAAAGAGCGAGGTACGAGTGATGACGTTCTGGTGTGGGCGAAGCCCCGTAGGGGGAGTGCAGAGGGGGGCGAGGCCTGCACAACTGCGGTCTAATGGCCGTTTTCGGGTTTTCCCTTGGGTTTTTGTATGTTTTTGGGGTTCTCCCCTTTTCCGTCCCAGAAGGGCCCCAGACGGCCCAAGAGGCCCCAAAGATCGTCCCAAGACAGCCCCAGAGGCGCCCCAAACTGGCCCAAAACAGTCCAAGAGGGCCCCCAGACGGGCCCAAGACGGCCCAGAGGCCCCAAATATCGTCCCAAGACGGCCCCGGAGGCGCCCCAAACGGGCCCAAAACGGTCCAAGAGGGCCCCCAGACGGGCCCAAGACAGCCTAAGAGGCCCCAAAGATCATCCCAAGACGGCCCCAGAGGCGCCCCAAAGGGGCCCAAAACAGCCCAAGATGGCCCCCAGACGGCCCCAATGCAGCCAAGAGGGCCCCGAGGGCCCTAAGAGAGCCCAAGAGGGCCCAATAGGCTCCCAAGCGCGCCCGAAGAGGAGGAGGAGGAGGAGGAAGAGGAGGAGGAGGAGGAGGAGAAGGAGGAGGAGGGAGGAGGAGGGAAAGGAGGAGGAGGAGGAGGAGGCGGAGGAGGCCGAGGAGGAGGAGGAGGAAGAGGAGGAGGAGGCGGAGACTCAGGCGGAGGCGGAGGCGGAGGCGGAGGAGGAGGAGGAGGAGGAGGCGGAGGAGGGGGAGGAGAAAGAGGAGGAGGAGGAGGAGGAGGAGGAGGAGGAGGAGGAGGAGGAGAAGCGAGGGGTGACGTAACAAGCTCTCAACGCCGAGGCTCCCAGTACGAACGGTGGTGTGAGTAATTTCGGTTCATGTGTTTGAGGCGCTCTTTCCGTTTCCGTGCCGGCCCAGGTAACGGAAAGAGCGAGGTACGAGTGATGACGTTCTGGTGTGGGCGAAGCCCCTTACGGGGGGGTCCAGGGTCCAGGGGGGCGCGTAGAGGGAACATTTGCGGTCTAATGGCCGTTTTGAGGGTTTTCCCGTGGGTTTTTGCATGTTTTTCGGGTTCTCCCTCATCGCGGCCCAAGAGCGCTCCAAGAGAGCCCAAGACCGCCCAAGACGGCCCAAGAGGCCCCCAAGAGGCCCCTAAGAGGCGCCCAAGGGGCGTCCCAAGAGGGCCCCCAGAGGCCCAAATCATCGATTTTCCATTGGAGAACTTATATTTTTAGCATCTACGGCTTTTCGCCTTTCACGACGTTGGCGACGGCCCAAGAGGCCCCAAAGACCGCCCCAAGACGGCCTCAGAGGCTCCCAAGAGGCTCCCAAAACGGCCCCAGAGGGCCCCCAGACAGCCCAAGAGGCGCCCAAGACGGCCCAAGAGGGCCCCAAGACGGCCCCAAGAAAGGGACCACGAACCGAAAAGTCCAGCCTATCGCCCCAAGACGCTCCCGGGAGGCCCCCACAGCCCTCCAAGAAGCCCCAAGAGGCCCCCGAGAGGCGTCCCACGAGGCCAACAGGAGGCCAAAATCATTGAGTTTCCAACGGGAAACGTACATTTTTTGCATGCACGGCTTTTCGGCTTTCACGGCGTTGACGACGGCCAAAGAGGCCCCCAAGACCGCCCCAAGACTGCCCAAGAGACTCCCAAGAGGCCCCCACAACAGCCCAAGAGGACCCCCAGACGGCCCAAGAGGCGCCCAAGACGGCCCAAGAGGGCCCCAAGACGGCCCCAAGAGGGGGACCACGAGCTGAAAAGTCCAGCCTGTCGCCCCAAGACGCTCCCGAGAGGCCCCCACAGACCCCCAAGAAGCCCCCAGAGGCCCCCAAGAGGCCCTGAAGAGGCCACCAGGAGGGCCCGAAAAGGGCCCCAATAGGACTCCCACGAAGGCCCAGAGACGCCAAGAGCGATCGGTAATGCAAAAAGCTCTTCACACCAAGGCTCCCAAGAGCGAACGGTGACGTCAACAAGCTGATAAGACCCAGGCTCCCAGCAGAGAGCGGTGACGTAACAAGTTTCTGATACCAAGGCCCAGCCAAGGCTCAGGAACGGGCGGCAACGCAACCATCTCTGAACCCCATGGCTCCCAAAAGCGAGGGGTGACGTAACAAGCTCTCAACGCAAAGGCTCCCGGTACGCACGGTGGTGTGAGTAGTTTCGGCTTCTGTTGCTGCAGCGCTCTTTCCGTTTCTGTGCCAGGCCAGGTCGGGTCGGCCGGGCCTCGCAGGATCCTGCGCGACTGGACCCCCAGTCCCCATCTTTCTGTATCATTTTTCGAGCCGGATCGATCTGTGAGGGTCCCGGGGCCCGAAATTCAGCAGGGACCGACCGTCCCAGCATTCCTATAGGCCTACCACGAAATGCTCTTAGAACCAAAAAACGTTCCAATAACAAAAACCATATTCTTAGAACATAAAACCGATGTGTGAAAACAAGACAGTCCCAGCCAGAAATGTTCTAAGAACATTTCGTGAAAACCACAAAAGGTTCTTAGAACATTAACTGGAAGGCCTGTAGGCACGCCAGGACGTTTCGCCACTGATTGACGAAATTGAGCGAAAGCGCCCGGCTCGAAAAAGTTGAGTCGCCAGGATCTCAGGGGAGGCTGCTGGGGGTGGGGGGCCGGCGCCGCGACCAAAAGCACGAGCCTCGGAAGAGGGTCGGCTGCACGCAGCAGCGGCCCCGGGCCAGAGCGGCCCCGCAGGCCCGTGGTCGCGCGGCCGATCGCCGCCGTGCGGTGCGGGCAGTCTCGGCTCCACGTGCCCTCCTCCTCCTCCTCCTCCTCCTCCTCCTCCTCCTCCTCCTCTCCTCCTCCTCCTCCTCCTCCTCCACTCCTCCTCCTCCTCCTCCTCCTCCTCCTCCTCCTCCTCCCCTCCTCCTCCTCCTCCTCCTCCTCCTCCTCTCCTCCTCCTCTCCCCTCCCCCTCCCCCCTCCTCCTTCTCGTCCTCCTCCTCCTCCTCCTCCTCTTCCTCCTCTTCCTCCTCCTCCTCCTCCTCCTCATCATCATCATCCACTATTTCACCTGATAGATAACTTCCCCCTGTCGCACCCCGAGGCCAGCTTTTAGGGCGATCCGGGCGTTTCGCCTGAACTTCCTCACCATGTGTGACGCTGAAGCTGTAAAATTGCCAACAGTTTCACAGATGGCGTTTGGTTTCAAAAAGTGGTTCTCGCCTCAGCGCCGCGGACATTATTTTAAAGACTTGCAAGAGTTTCGCGGATTGAGGGCGAGTCGCTTTCAAAATGTGATTCCCGCCATAGCGCCGCGCACATTCATTCGTTTTTGAATTTGCAATTGGTGTCACGGGTTGAGGGCGGTTCCTTTTCAAAATGTGGCTCTCGCCTCATCGTCGCGCACACTCGTCTTAGAAATTTGCAAGAGCTTCACGGATTGAGGGCGAGCCGCTTTCAAAACGTGGCTCTCCCCTGATCGCCGCGCACATTCATGCGTTTTTTAATGTGCTAAGGGTTTCACGGGTTGAGGGCGGCTCCTTTTCAAAATGTTGCTCTCGCCTCAGCGCCGCGCTCACTCGTCTCAAAAAAAATGCAATAATTTCACGGATTGAGGGCGGTTCCTTTTCAAAATGTGGCTATCGCCTTAGCGCCGCGCACACTCGTCTTAAACATGTGGAAGAATTTCACGGATTGAGGGCAGCTCCTTTTCAAAGTGTGGCTCCCGCCTTTGCGCCGCGCTCATTATTTTTCCCAGCCCTCCTGCGTTGGGTTCTCGTTTTAAATACAGCACTGCTCGCGCGTCTCCTTTCTTCCTTCCTTCCTTCCCGCCCCTCCCTTCCCCCTTGCCTTTCGCCTCGCTCGTCGCTGCGTGCCAGCTGGGGGGCTGCGATCTGTGAAACTGTCGCCACTTTCGAAGCCTGCTGGGGGGCCCAGCACAGTGAGTACTCACCGCAGACTCAAATGGAGCCTCGCCATCCCTGGGGGGCTGCGATCTGTGAAACTGTCGCCACTTTCGAGGGCTGCTGGGGGGCCCAGCACAGTGGGTACTCACCGCAGACTCAAATGGGACCTCGCCATCCCTGGGGGGCTGCGATCCGTGAAACTGTCGCCACTTTCGAGGGCTGCTGATGGGGCCCAGCACAGTGGGTACTCACCGCAGACTCAAATGGAGCCTCGCCATCCCTGGGGGACTGCGATCTGCGAAACTGTCGCCACTTTCGAAGCCTGCTGAGGGGCCCAGCACAGTGGGTACTCACCGCAGACTCAAATGGGACCTCGCCATCCCTGGGGGGCTGCGATCTGTGAAACTGTCGCCACTTTCGAGGGCTGTTGGGGGGCCCAGCACAGTGGGTACTCACCGCAGACTCAAATGGGACCTCGCCATCCCTGGGGGGGTGCGTTCTGTGAAACTGTCGCCACTTTCGAGGCCTGCTGGGGGGCCCAGCACAGTGGGTACTCACCGCAGGCTCAAATGGGACCTCGCCATCCTTGGGGGGCTGCGATCTGTGAAACTGTCGCCACTTTCAAGGTCTGCTGATGGGGCCCAGCACAGTGGGTACTCACCGCAGACTCAGATTCGACCTCGCCATCCCTGGCGGGGCTGCGATCTGTGAAACTGTCGCCACTTTCGAGGCCTGCTGAGGGGCACAGCACAGTGGGTACTCACCGCGGACTCAAATTGGACCTCGCCATCCCTGGGGGGCTGCGATCTGTGAAACTGTCGCCACTTTCGAGGCCTGCTGGGGGGGCCCAGCACAGTGGGTACCCACCGCAGACTTAAATTGGACCTCGCCATCCCTGGGGGGCTGCGATCTGTGAAACTGTCGCCACTTTCGAGGCCTGCTGAGGGGCCCAGCACAGTGGGTACCCACACGCAGATTCAAGTTAGACCTCGCCATCCCTGGGGGGCTGCGATCTGTGAAACTGTCGCCACTTTCGAGGCCTGCTGGGGGGCACAGCACAGTGACGCCGCACGCAGATTCAAGTTAGACATCGCCATCCCTGGGGGGCTGCGATCTGTGAAACTGTCGCCACTTTCGAGGCCTGCTTGCGGGGCCCAGCTCAGTGACGCCTCCCAAGTAGCTTACACATCAAATTGATTGTCCATACGAATTTCGGCCAACTCCTCGTTTCCATTGATACAAATGGGTTGGGTACGTCACAGGGTAATTGTTAATTTGCCAGAGGTCCACGGATCCCCATGATCAACGTACCAGAAATAACATTTTGAACGGATTCAGGCTTATGGGGATGCACAAGTTATGTTGATTCGCGGTGTCCAAGTCCCAGGAATGTGGCACGATCCAGGATCGTCAAGACGCAACAATCAGGTTGATCCATGGCGTTGGAATTCCGAAAACAATGTTTTGGCATGCTTCAGGGTCTTCAACCAGTTGTCTTCCAACGAGGCAGCTCTCTCAATAAAAATGAACCGGTGTAGGGGCCTATGAAGAGGGAGCTTGGAGGGAGGGTTCATTACAACATCGTTGCTGCCTCTTGGGTTTACACTGGTCCTCCTCCTCCTCCTCCTCTTCCTCCTCCTCCTCCTTCTTCTCCTCCTCCTCCTCCTCCTCCTCCTCCAAACGCGTACCTTCTACAGGGGAGAGGGCCTGCCAGAGCCTCGACCCAGGAGGACCAGCACGCGGGCGAGTAGCGCTCAGGAGCACTGCGGTTCACTCGTATACTCGACTCGCCTGAGACTCGTGCCTCCGACGAGAGCCTGCGGGAGCCTCGGCCCAGGAGGACCAGCACGCGGGCGACAAGGGAACGGGTTCAGGAATAGTGCGCTTGACGCTGATGCCAGAACCGCCTGAGATACATGCCTCTCACAGGGGGGGAGAGCGTGCCAAAGCCTCGCCCCAGGAGGACTGAGCATCGATTAACCGATCCCTATCCGCGGCCTGGGCCCCACTGGCCAGTTTACCCTCCTAGATAGATAGGGGATATTATACCGCTCCCTGCGGTTTTCGAGGGGCAAATCAGATCGATGATCCAAGACTGGGGCGGTGGGATGGTGGGGCTTGGGACGGGGATACGGAGGGGGATCGGGATCGGATAAACGCGAGTGGAGGACCAGCACGCGGGGCACGAGGTGGCCCCCCTCTGGCAGCGGCTCGCGGCGCGCAAACCGAGGCCACCGCCTGGCGGCCTTCATGAGGGGGGTCGAGCAAGTCCCCAGATCTCCCGACAACATCATCTCAGGCGCGGCCTAACCGACCCCGACTGTAACGAGCACCTTCCGTAACGTCATCCTCGCTTTCAGGCTTTCCTCCGGCCTCTTTCATACGTCTTGGGGTGAGGCGAGGTGGACGTCACAGAAGGGGATGGTTTGCTAGGGGTCGGTCAGGCCGCGCCTGGTGATCTGCTCACCTTGCGTTCTTCCTCGATTTCGGCCTCTGAGGCCCGTCATCGGGGCCCGGGGCCATAGACGCCTCCCAGTGGGGTTCGAGTAGATGTGGTCGGAGGATCACGCCGAATCGGCAATGTATCGGCGATGCATCGGCGAGGCGTCGCCGACGTCGGCGATGCATCGGTGACGTCGGCGTGGAAAGGTCGGGCTACACGTCGAGCCGCATCGCCATGCACTGGCGATGCGGCTCGATCCTTCGCCCCCACCTACTCGGACCCCATCTGGGAGCCCTGGAGGCCAACAAGAGCGGATCCGAAACGAAAAGCTGCCCCCCGAGGAAGGGGTCGGGATCTCTGGAGACCCGCCAAGGTCGAGCCACCAGGCGTCCGGGAAGGGCTGTGGGAAGGGGGGCAGGGCAAGGGAGGAGGGGAGGGGGGAGGAGGGGAGGGGGGAGGGCAAGCGCCAAGGGAGGGCAAGGTCGAGGGGAGGGCAAGGAAGACGGAAGGGCGCGGGCGAGGGGAGGGCAGGGAAGAAGGGACGGCGAGGGCGAGGGCGAGGGCAAGGAAGAGGAGAGGCGAGAGCGAGGGCGAGGGCAGGGCAACGAGGAGGGGAAGGCAAGGGCGAGGAATCGGGGAGGTCGAGGGCGAGGGAACAGGGGCGGGGACGCGGATGCGAGGGCGGAGAAGGGGGGCCAGGGAACTGGCAGGAGGGAGGGTGTCCATGGGCGGAAAGCAGGTCCTGGACCCCAGAGCTTCCTCCAGGACCAGTCTTATTATCCGAGGTCTAGACAGGCAACAGGGCCCAGCGGTTTTGACGGTAGAAAGGACCACGAGTACCCAAAATGGTGAACAAAAACGATGGGACCCCTTTCCTTCATGCTAGGGAGAGAGGCACGATGATCCAGACCCCCGACTTCGTATTTTGTTCAACACGCGGACCCCCAAAGTCTGCATCCACATTGCTGTTCGACATGTCCCAAGGCCCGACAAAAGGACCCCCCCGGGAGGCCGATCACGGCAAGAAACCGTCCGTCGTGATTGCATTCTTGCTCTCGACGCGACCAAGTCTGGAGAATTGGCACGCCCGAGCTGGAAGCTAGTCCACAAAAGATGGTTCGGATGCCTATCAGCAAACGATGTTCAAAACATACAGCGGTCGCTGTTCTGCAGGCGACGTTTCGCCTCAAATCGACAACGTCCGCGCGACACTGACAGCGAGTCCTGTTGAAAATGCCCAAGAACTGCTGTCACGTTTCGTTCCCATTCTTTCCGCACCCTCGTGTTTACGAAGGGAAGGTCCCCCTCTGCGCGGAGCCGGCCTGAGGTTGGATTTTTCTGCCGACCACCCCACTGCGCGGCCAGG